CCTGCCCTGCAGGGGGCCCAGACCAAAATGAGCGCCAGCGACCCCAATTCCTCCATCTTCCTCACCGACACAGCCAAGCAGATCAAGACCAAGGTGAGCGCTGTCCCGGGCCGAGGGGCTGCCTGTGTGAGTAGAGCCACACGCACACAGGTGCGCACTCACGCACGCACACGCGCGCACATACACACAGGCACACAGGTGCACACTCACACACACACACGCACGCGCACCATTGCTCTGTGGTTTCAGCGTCGGCTGCCACAGGGCCACAGAAATCCAGGATCGATAGCTGTGCCCCTGCTAGCTTGAGGCCACCTGTCCCCGTTCCCAGATAACAGATGAATTTGTTTTGTTTGTGTCCTTTTATTTAGCCAAAACTTTGGATTTTTTTTTTCTTTTCTTTTCTCACCAGCACTCTGTTCTGGAAGCAAAGTTATGGCAATTGTCTTTAAAGTTACACTTAAACAATAGAAAAACATTTAGTACATTTCTGAGCACCAGTGATATTCCAGGAGCTGGGCCAGGCGCTCTGTTTGTGTTTCCTCATTTCTGTTCTCACTGGGAGAGAGTGGTGTGTTTCTTTTAAAGATGAGAAGGACAAGGCCCAGAGGGGATGACCGACTTGACCAAGTCACCACCACTGGAGCCCCTGGAGCCCAGCCGAGCACTCCTGGCCCGTGTGGGGCTCAGGGGCTGCTTTTCTCCCAGTTCTCACTGACACGCGCAATTGATACGTGTCCTTCAGCGAGACAGTCCTGTCCGGCCCCGAAGTGCTACACCTGGCGCATCATGCAGCGGGCGCCCAGTAAATATTTGTCGAGTCACCAGAGAAACGTGAGATAGGCATTAGCTTGGGCTTCCTTATTGTTCAGGGCCCACTATTTCCCGTACTGACCTGCCAGCATATGTACAGTCCCCTCAACTGCCCCACAAGTCTGTTGACATTTTACTTGGAACCAGGTGTGTGTTTGCATGTTGGAAGATTACAGTGGGAGTGACAGAAACTGTATTTGAAGCACGTAATGTAGCTGTCTGCGTTATTGCCAGGCCCCTGACCCTTCTGGAAAGTCCCAAGCAGGTTCTGTTTGACAATGGCGAAACCCTTCATATTGAAAGTTGCGCGGCTGACCCTCCCACCCTCGGTGGAAGCTACTGTAAACAGGCTTTCTCTTTCCCTTTCACTCTGACAGAAACTTCCAGAGTGTGGAGTGCCGAGGGGGAAGGGGAACTCCTGTTCCCTCTAGCAGAGTTTTTGTTTTGTTTTTGAGATGTTGTTTGAAAGAAGTCATTTTGGGCTCTGGGGCATTTTTCATTCGCTTAGGGACCAGCAAAACCCACCCAGTGGGTGAGCAGGGAGCGTGAGGTCAGGAGCCGCACAGGCTGCAGACGCCACCAGGGGCCGGCCAGGGTCAGGCCATGCCTGTGCTCTCAGTCTCTGTGCCCTCTCCAGCTCCAGACTCACGTTCCACGCCAGCCACAAGCGGGGGCATCTGCTCCAGCCCCTCCCAGGAATGCCAACAACAGCCGTGTGGGGACACGGCAGCATGGCTGCGTGGTCACCTGCCAGGCACTGACCTCACTGAGTCGTGACAACCACCTGGGAGACTGTGCCTGTTTCACAGGCGAGGAAAACAAGGCTCAGAGCAGCCGTTCGGCAGCTGCCCTGGATTCACAGTTGGGAAACAGTGGGACGGGAACCGTAACCCAGGTCCCCAACAGCGTGGGCCCCCCCATGGCCTGGTCAGGAGCCCCATTGTCTGGCCCCGCCATTGGTGAGTGACCTTGGCTGTCCAGGTGTCATCCGTGAAGTGGGGGCAATTGTACCCTTCACAGACTTGAGGCAGGGATTACATGAGATCACGTATAAAAAGTGTTTGTAAACTGTCGAGTGCTGCCCAAATTTAAGATTTTAGTTCAAAAAGTGAATAGTTGGACAGCTCCTTTGTAGGATAGGCCAAAACGTGCCTCCCCTGGGCTGTCACTCAGGTGCTGGCAGAGCCTCCCACGGCAGCCCTTGGAAGTAGGAATCTCTTCGTGCAGGACGAGTGTTTGAGACACAGTTTGCCAGCTGGCCACCTACTCGTGCTTTCTGCTCACAGAGCCCCTTTAGTGCCCTGCTCCCAGAGCTGTTTCCAGCTCCAGATCAGTGGCCCGTCCCCGCCCTGGGCCTCGGGGCTCCTAAAGGCCAACTCAACCATCCCGCTGGGTTGGAGCAGCCAAAGTTCACTGGCTCTTGGAGCTGGTGACTGACTCAAGTCCCCATCCCTCGGCCCAAAGAGCCCCGCTCGGACCGGCTTCCTGCTTCCTGTTACGTGGAACCGTGTTTGGTGTCTCTCACTCACTCCTGTCATTTTGGATCCTGTGACGGCGTTCGGGCCCCACCACCAAGACTGCTCTCCACCCTAAGCCAAGCCCATTTTCCTGTTGCCTCCCTGTAAGTCAGGCCCTAGCATCCCTGAGGTCCGGCCAGGCCCAACACCAGCACCACGTAAGCCGCTTTCGGAAGCCTGGTGTCCCAGGAAGAGTCAGCCTGGCTCCACCACTGTCCCACACAGCAGGTACTGGACACTCGGGGCCTCATTTTCTTTACCTAGAAAGTGGAGAAAGCAATACCAAGTTTGTTGGGTCTTTGAGGACTGTTTGTAATAATTTTAACAGCCATTACTGTGGCACATCTGCTGTGTGCCACCGTTGGACGATGCCCATGCATCTTGGAAAAATGTAGCAAACATGCACTTCCTCGTCCTCCTCTCAGACAAGGGCTGGGAGCTGCCCCAGGGCCCTTGGGTGGCCTTTAAAACCACCCTTTGGAGCCTGGGAGGTTATCCTCAAGGCTTCCTTCCCGGCACTGCATGGTCTTCCCTGAGGCCCAGCTGGCCTGGCCGGACCTGGGAGTCTGCACCCAGGAAGATGCCCGAGGGGGCAGGGGTCGCCTCGACCAGATACTCAACACCTGCCCGACCTCAGGAGAGCTCAGTACTAGGCGGTTTTCGCTTCTTGTTTATTTTGTATTCTCCATAGTTCTTGCGGTATGCATCCATTGGTTTTCCTAGATGCCTTGCTTCCTTTTCGTTAAGGAGAGGGATGGCGGCCTTTGACTCAGCCTATCCCTCCCACCCCAGCAGCACTTTGCCACGCCCACCAGTAGGAGGTGGGTTTCTCTGACCTCCCATGTGGCTGACGGTCACCTGCTGCTTCTAGATGGTCCCAGAGAGTCCAGTTATAATCTGTCCTGGGGCCCTTGTGGTGTGACTTCCTTAACATCTCCACTTGGAATTTACCAACTCGACCCTTCCTGTTCCCCATGTAAAAACATAGGCGACCTCTGTACATAGCAGGCTTCTCAGATACTCATCGACACAACCCTGAGGGACTTGGCCTCTCCTCGTTGGCTTTTCTTCTCTTGCCCACGGCCCTGATTTCCCCGACTCTTCATGATTCCTGGAGCGCGTTCTCTGGGCTTGCGTCTGGCTGTCTTCGTTCCTGAAATGCGCGTCATGGGCAGGCCCTGCCTGCGGGCCCTGCCTGCCTCCACACTGTTTGTGGTCTGGCTTTCCCTCGGAGCCGTGCGCGCTGCCTCCCGCCTGTCTTTCACGGTGGGGAAGGCAGCAGCCAGGAGGCCGGGTGCTGACGTCCTGTCCTCCGGAGGTGACAGTGCCACCTGCCGCCCCACGGAGGCTGCCCCTTCCCTCGTCATCCCTGTTCCTCTGAAGCCGGCTTGTGTTCGTCCTCTCTCTGAAGCTTTCTCACTGAAAGTGTTCTCACTAAAGTGAGAACACTTTAGGACATTCCCCCCAACTTCAGCTTTCCTGACACTGTTCTTGTCTCTGGGGAGTGGAGGGTTCCGAGCTAATCTGCCCTTGTCTCCCCTTCCCTGCAGGGACCCCACTGTGGCTCGAACCCCGGCCTGGCGGGGAGGAACAGTGTGAGGGGTTCCTCCCGCCGTCTGAGCCTCACTCTCCCTCTAGTCAGGATCTGACGGGACTGAAGCTCTCATTGGCGGGACTCCCAGCCAGTTTCCACCCGCAGGGCGGCCAGTCCCTGCTACCCTTTCTGTGTCCCCTTGCTGGTGCAGGTCAACAAGCACGCGTTTTCTGGAGGGAGAGACACCGTCGAGGAGCACAAGCAGTTTGGGGGCAACTGCGACGTGGACGTGTCCTTCATGTACNCCTACGGCTACGCTGTGGAGAATGCCAAGGACATCATCGCCTGCGGCTTTGACATCAACAAGACCTTCATCTTCTCTGACCTTGACTACATGGGGTAAGGAGACAACGCTCGGCTGCCTTTTGACTAAGTCGATGCAGACACCAAATCCTCATGACCACAGCGGAATGAAACGTCCGAACTGGTCGTACGGCCTGGTAAACATTTTTCTTCCTTTATTAAGTGTTCTGATCTGGTTTATCGGTTTTACGATTTCCATCCCCAGCTTCTGACAGAGGTGCTTCTGCACTGTTCCCTCTCCAAGGACAGTCGGTTTTGCCAAGTTAGGGTACCTTTCTCTTTCCTCACAGAGAAAAAGCACACTGCTTACACAGTTCCCTCCCAGTCTTGTTTTTTAAATCAGCCACTTACTGAGCCCAAACATTTCATTCTGAAAAGCCTTCAATTTGCAACTTCTGAGGTCTTGACCTTCTTCCCAAATGTATACCAAAGATGTGTTAGAAAAAGATTAGATTTTTTAAAAATCACTTTTCGTGTGGGCAGAGAGGCACCGTGGTGTGCTTGAAGAAACATGACCTTATAAGGAAGGCAGACTGACCCGGGTTCAAGTCCTGGCACCTCAGTTTAGTGGCCAGGAGTCAGCAAGTCTGTCCATGAAGTCGGGTTAGGTGAGACCTTGCATGTCCCCGTGACTGTAATCCTCGTGGCACTTTGGTTTATTTCTCACCTCTCATTCCTTAAAAAGACCTGATGCAACTGCTCGAACCCACAGACACACCATGGGTTTTGCTGCTCTTTTTAGGGCCAGGTGGCATTGGCGTTGCCCCGTCACTGGCGTCCTTTTGTGCATTTTCTTCCTGCCCACTGCAGCACCCCCAACCTCCAGTCCCCCACGAGCTGGCCCTCTCTGTAAAGTGCACATCGGGTCTCGTTCCACACTCAGGCCTTGTCCAGTTCAGCCACATCCAAGCACTGACCCTGGCAGGACTGAAATATTTCCTGTCAGCCCCCACGTGGGAACGTGGCCATGTTCTCATTGCTTGTCACTTGTTGCCTTGCGTTGATCTCACATGGACCCAGGCCGTGCGTGTCACAGGTAAAGGCGTGTCCGCTTTGCCTGCAGTGGCTGGTGGGTACCTCCCTCCCCAGTGTCCCGGCTGGTGTCGCTCCCGCGGGTTTCAGTGGAAGGCCCCCCTCTGGGCCTGGGGTTTGATTCTGAGCGTCTTTGCAGGATGAGCCCCGGCTTCTACAGGAACGTGGTGAAGATTCAAAAGCACGTTACATTCAACCAAGTCAAGGGCATTTTCGGCTTCACGGACAGTGAC